GTGTGTGTGTGTGTGTGTGTGTGTGTGTGTGTGTGTGTGTGTGTGTGTGTGTATATAGTTTTTTTTTACTGTGGGATTCTGCAAATAAGTTGTGAACAACTAATATCTTTCGTAGCTCTTTGAACAACCCCAGTTTGGAAAATTTTACTCTGACTGGAATGCTGTGTTCATGGCTATCAGAGAAAAGACAAACAATTCCAATCTACAAATGTTAAAGTAGTTCGTGTTAACAGTCATTTATTAACTTTTTTCCACCGTCATTATATTTTGTGCAATTAACCAACAAAAAAAATGTTTTTCATGCTGGAGGGCTGCTTTTAAAATGCTACAGCTACCTACTGCTGCTGTTTTTGCTCACAAATAAYCATAAAAACCATAAAATTCTAGAGTGAAGGCAAGTTTTATAAAACAGTGTTGCATGAACCAAGTTGTTTTGTTTTGAGTTGTTTTTTTCCCCATTTTATTGACAGAGGTTTACTTTGGTCTAATTTCCACTCAGTCCAGTAGTTAGCTTACCAATCTCATAATAATTAAACTCTATTTGTCCAAAGTGATCTTCTTCAAAGAGCGATTGGCATGATGTATGATATCAATTTTTCATTACTTTTCAAAAGAAACTCTCTTCAAAAGCCTGAACTGTTGATCTACGTAAGTTACATTTGTTAGAGTACATGCCTCAAATAATTTATAGCATGTTCTGTGTCCTTCTGTAAATTTAAATTTATTTTTCTTTGTAGGCTGAAGCCTTTCACGTCGTACAAGTTTCGGATGTTTTCCACCAATGACGTCGGGGACAGCGTTCTCAGCAAGGAGACGGAKGCTATTACAACTCTGCAGGATGGTAAGAACCTGAGATGATGATTCAGCACAAGGTTAAAGGACGGAGAAGACTGGAGAATTCACAGATTGGCAGATGGACAGTCGGTACAGCTTTTGCTTTTTCTCTTTCCATTTCAGTGCCTAATGAGCCTCCAGTGATACTATCAGTGAAACCAACGACCACTACCTCAGTGTTGGTGCAGTGGAAGGTATTTTCAGGCTTCAAACATATCAGCAGTCCCTGACAAAAACAAACCTAAACAACAAAACATGCAGTCAAAGTCCAGTTTAATCAGCCACTTTGAGAATTTAGTCCCCACAGACTTTTGCTGTCCAATTATCAGTATTTATTAAACCAGAAAAAGTCAGAGAGCAGCAAGGATATACTGTAAAGATAAGTGGAGGGAGAGAAAGAAAGATGGACCAACAGCATTGGGTGGGGGGGGGGACGTCTAATGATTATACACCAGCAGGCGATGTCTAATAGGTCGAAAGGAGCCCCCAGCAGTCAGTTCAGCAACAGTGGGGAAAAAAAGAGAAAAGGAGAAGACAGTAGATACACTTTTAGTGCCTCACAGCTTGCTYCTCTTCCTCTTCTGTGTGTAAATGTCTTCTTTCATCTTTGCAGCTTTATGTCAAAGCAGAAAGAGGCAATGAAAACACAAAGTCACCAGCTATGTCATCACCCGTTACTGGAGTGCCAAACTTACTGAAGCATCGCTCTGCCTTTGCTCCAGACCAATACACTAAACCTTTAAATTGGACTGCTACAAAAACAGTTCTGCTTAGCCTGTCCTCCTGTCGCCTCACCCRAAAACCAAACACAACATAACTAACAGACTTGGAGTTTCCTTTGAAGAACATCTTGACTAATATGTTTTCATGTTTTTAGCGTCCGACCGAAGACAGTGTCAACGGGGTCTTGACTGGATACAGAGTGTATTATAGAGAGCTCCCAAATAACATTTCCAGCCTCGCGGAAGCAGAGGGCCCGACAACCAAAAACAACACCACAAGTGCCGTYATTACAAGTAAGTAGCTCTGCGTCTCAKGGCCTCTGACTGCTGGTGACGGGTTGATGAACATCATTCAGGAGGAAGTCTCCAGGATGTCTCGCAGACATTGTTCAGGGTTCTCAGATTCCTCACTTAAGGTTCTCAGTCTTGTCGCACAAACTTTTTAAACAAATTTTTATGCAACAAAAATTGTCTCTCTGAATAGTCAAAGTCATAGYGGGCGTTTCTAGTGCTGAATTTTGACAGAAAACTCTAACAGAAAACRTGTCTAAGTCTAAACAAAATAAATACAGATGATAAATCCTTTTTGGAAAAGGTGGTATAATCTTAAATTCAGAAGTTTATTCCAGTGGATTAAATCAGAGACGTGTGGAGGCAGCCTCCAAGGTGGGTACAAGTGGGCCATGATGTATTTTTTATATGTCTTTTGGCTGCTCCCTGCTTCAGGGGTCACCACAGCAAGCAAACTTGCATGAAGATTTGCTAATTGTTGTTACACAGGTGCCCTTCCAGACCACCAAGCTACCACAAGCCCACATGTGTGGAGCAGGGGGCTGTTATTTAGGGTGCCTGAGGGAGAAGGGTCCAGAGTGGGGCAAACAAGGGTAGAGGAAGACATGCTTCACCTCTCCCACCTAAATTTTGTTGTTATGGTCAGSGGATTCAAACCAGCAACCATCCATTCGCAGGCTCCCCTTCTCTAACCTCTGTACCACCACTCCCCCGACACATGAGCAGTGTGAACAATGGATTAATGTGCATAATTACAGTTTAGTTAGCCATGCTCACAAAAATAAGCCTTTTTTTAAACTAGCTGAGCAAAATGCAGCAGCATTCTGGTCACTGCAAATCCTAACAGATTTGTTGTGCAGTATTGAGTCAGATTTTGAGTCCTCACCTAGTCTCCCACTGTTGCAACCCAGTGAAATAGTACTTTAAAGGCATTAACTGGTCACAGTTTTCTAGGTTGATTTTGATTTTCAATGTTTCTGCATCTCTGATCCGTCATCACCAATTTTCTCAAGTAGAGAAACTTGGATTTTGTCTAATTATGTGACGACTATTTGTAGTTGTATTTGATATAGTTCACTAAGTTAAAAAGCTAAATTATCTGGGTCAGACATTTATGTATGTATTTATTTATTTATTTATTTATTTATTTATTTATTTATTTATTTATTTATTTATTGAATCTGTTACACATGTATGTGTTTGTGATTTGTCATATTTGTTATATATTTCTATAAAGAGTAAAGCATGAACAGAGCAGTGACCAGGTCTTAGGAAGTCATTGGGAAAAAAAAAACATTCCAGATACCAGAACTTTTTCTGTGCAAACATCCCACAAGCAAACAATAGTAAACTCATTAGATAATAAAAGATCGGCTGTTCACCAAGGCTGCCTGTAGAATTTGAGCTCCAGCTCTAAAAGTTTTGTATTAAAAAACAAAATAACAATAATAAAAATACAAAACCTGAAAAATGTCAGCATATGATAAAAGAATTTAGGGAAAAATCCATAAAAACTGCTCATTTGTTACTTTACAACAAGATTTTATTCATAGTGTTTGTTTACTKATATCTTCAAAGGTCATAAATTTTGTGTGGGGAGGGGGGTTCAAACGTGCATCGTTTCTATTCTGCTGTCAATGGACAGCTGTTTTTTATGAGTTCACTGCTGTTGCACTGAAACACTGCAATAATAACATGGTATTATACTCGCTGCAGCTTGTTCTTTATATTTCACCGTGGAGCCGCTCGTCTAGATTGACAAGCGGACAGTTTGCTGTCTGCTCCAAAATCTAAAAAGTCACACAACCAGACTGAAGCATAAAAGTTTTAAACATTAATCTGCATTTTTTTTGGCAGTTTATTGTCAAACTTGAAATGCTACACTCATCTTTATTCTGTCTTAAAGCTAAAAGCACCTTCAAGACAGTCAGCAGCGCCTCACTCACYGAGTTTGAGCTGACACGTAAGTAATTTACTGTGAACCCTGGAGATTTCACATCAACTAAAATATAAAGCTTTTTTTCTGCTCGGCACAGTGGATGTTTTTTAATACCAAGGTTTATTGTTTTGTTTACAGAACTAAAGAAGTTCAAACGTTATCAGATTGTAATGACAAGCTACAATATCATCGGAGAAAGCCCGCCTTCAGCTCCGGTGGAGGTGTCTGTAGGAGAGGCAGGTGGGTGAAAAGACATTTTAAAACAATCATTGATGTGGATTTCAAAGTCAAAATCCTTCTATTTATAAGATTTACTGTTTGCAACATAATGAAAGAAGTGTTTGTGTCAATGTCTTGGTGTGTTTTATGATGATTATTATTACTTATTTAATTATTTCTTTAAGCACAAAGATCACATTACTAATTGCTCACGTTGTATTTCTGATGAAAATAACCTTGATTTTAGTTTTAACAAATAGCTACATCTGCACCTTTTTATTTTAAATCTTATCATCTTTAGCAGCAGATTTAAAGTTCTGAGAAATATCTTTTATGTTTTTCACTCATCGTACAATAAAAATCAAGAAAAAGTTGTGAGTATTCTTTTTTTTTTTTCAATTCTGCGGTGGCGTTTTGCACTTTCTGTTACAAGTATCTCAATTTTTCTTAGCTGCAACATTTGACCTCCACAAGGTTGTATCTTGTGTCATTGCACAACATTTTCAGGTTTCTCAAAAGACTTTCTGTTATTTTCCCTTACGTACTGTGTAAAGTTAGACACTGAGCTTGCTATTGAAAATTGGGTTTTTATCATTTGATAACGAGACATCCAACAAAAAAATACCTTTTTTAAAACTAGTGTGCAGAATATGTTTTGTAGATGTGTTTCAGATTGTCATCTTGTTGAATTACAGACCTTCTCTTTAACTGTTGCTGTGTATTTTACTGCAACAGTTCTCGTCGTTATTCGTCTTGTTTTTTCTTGTTATTTTTGACTGGTCTCAGCCTCATTACTTTTATTAAACTTTTATTTGGCACAGATGCTCTGATTGAGCTTTCTGGCTTTTAGGATTTTATGTTGCGTTAGTGTGGGATGTGATTAGAAGCTTGTGGAAAAACTGTGTTGAGTTTTAGTTGTGATCACAATTTTTTTTCATCACCAAATTCCTTTGTCCTGACCACGTTATGGCCTTGGTCCTGAGTACAATTATCTTTTAAAGATTCAGTTGCATTCTCTGAGGGAGGTGTGTGTGTGTGTGTGTGTGCAAATACGGCACAAGGTCAACCATTTTGTACTGATGGCCCAGTCTCTCTTTCACTTTCACTAGAAAGTCAAACCATGAATCCATTAGACAGACATGAGTGCAAATACGGCGACTCTACACACACTCACACACAGCAAGAAGAACAAGGCTGATGTAAACCACAAACAAGAAGGCAGGTGACCAGATTTACACTTTGTTTTATTAACAGTTTCACTCACCAGTGGCAAGTTTTCATTCAATCCGTGTGTGTGTAGAGTTTAGTAGGCCATACATACTCGGAAGTGTAAGGGAGGGGGAGTCAGAAAAGCCTGGAGGGGAATGATGAAATGGGGTGATATGGACTGTTCTCCAGCCTCAGGTGCACACCGCTGAGTGTTCATGCTTACGTGCGGTACAGTGGAGTAACAAGGTACTGCCTTAGGCCCAGTCTAATTGGAAGGGTAGAACATGTTTTCTCCTGACTTCCCGTTCTTTAGCATGCAGCTGAACACACGCGGTAACTGGGATCTCTCTCTCTCGCCTGCTGCAGCTCCGTCGGTGGCGCCTCAGTCTATCAAAGTGTCAGCCGTGTCTCCCTCCAGCTTGGAAGTGACCTGGGACATGCCGCCCCTCGAGACCCAGAATGGACTCATCCAAGGATACAAGGTGACTCTCAGCAAAACAAGCACAAGCGTACGCACACATAAAGAATACATATGCCCGCCCGGGGAAAGGCAAAGGAGGCACACTCAGATAAATACTTAGTGTGTGGKTGTCCACATCACGCAGGCTGCTCTGGCTCTGGTGTGTCTTTAAGTGTCCTATACACATCAGAAAAAGAAGACTGAAAGCGGAGGACGAATCTGAATATCTTTTAATGGGTTTTGTATCAATTCTTCCATCCAGCACTTACTGTTAGTACTTCAAACACAAGGTTATATGTCTTGTCTTTGACACGTTAGTTTTAGCCAGTGTTGAGGGCTACAAATGAAGGGATTGAAGTATGTGCAGAGCGAAAAAGGAGCCGTGCAAGTGATCCCCTTAGAATCCAGATTAGAGGAAATGATCGAGGAACTGTGTTKAAACGAACAGAGATGGAGAGATATGTCAGAGAATGGGAGGTTGAGATTAAGATGAGAGAAAGAATATCAATTGAAATCGTGGCTTCTGACTTCTCTTTAACACTTGTTTACCACAACGCAGACAACAAGATGCAAACTTCACAACATTGTCAAAATTTACTGGTATTTTCAAATTCCAACAAACATGAAGGGGTAGCAGCCACGCCCATCAGGCTGAACTCACACATCCGAGCTGTGAAAGGCYGCATGAGATTAGGAGATAAACAAGTCTGAAAATGATTAAACGTCTCATTTAGTGTTCACAGACACATACAGTACTGTTTAAGAAAACACTGTTGTGTGTCTTATTATTTTTTATCTCTTGGCAAAAATGATGCCTATGTTTACTCAGGACAACTTTTAAATTGCTTTTTTCAGTAATCCTGACCATCTATAAAAGCTGATCCATTAGGCAACAAAGAAAATTGGATTACAAAATGATCAGGATTATTTTTTTTTAACTTTGCCATAAAGCAGTGCAAAACAAAGCTTCCTTTTTTCAGAGAATAAACACAAAAGACTGTCAGCAGAAGGTAATACGTTTTGATCCTAAACTGATCCATTGAATGAGTTATTGTGTAACTCATTATAGTAAGAGCTCGTGGAAAGACAGATATGGGATAATGCTGCCCTCAAGTGCTACTCAGAAGCTGCTAYGTTCAGCTTTGGAGGCTGTAAATATGGCTTATGGTGCTCAGAGGTGCTATCTATTCAGAATAATAAGAAAATGGAACCCTTTGTTTGGCACTTGGCTGCTGTTTTATTTTTTAACTGCATTGGCAGGATATATTTGAGGAAACTTCGAACACTGCACTGTACTTTACCAAAAACACATCCATGAATGGACTTTTTCGGATTTAGTTGGCCGCAAAAAAAATTGTGTTGCATTAATTTTCAAAATAATGAGTTTATTGTTACTATTATAATTGATATTAATAGTAGAATGAAATCTATTATGTTTCATTTACCACTTCTCTTGTAGCTCCTGAGGATATTATAGGGTAAAAGTATATGTTGCTGTATAATTTCCATCTTGATGGTCCTCATTTCTTCTACATTTAAACCAAGAGACAGAAAGCTGCTCAGAGATCAGACCCACTGTTCTAAAAAGGTCACAGCATCACCAGATGAGATGAGAAGCCGTGTGGTGCATGATTAGAAACATGGGCAGTTAATTATTTTTAGGATGTAAAAAAAAAAAAAACATGGTGCAGTTTCACAGATCTAAATGTAGAGCACACTGTGTTCCGATTTACTGCTCGCCTCCGGAAGGCAAAGTCCCGTGTCTGTCAAAAATGTCTGTAACTCAGAATCAATCTGTTATCGTAACCCACTTGTTCCTTTCAGAGTCACTGGTGCCCATACCCAGCAGTCACTGTGCGAGGAGCTGGCTACACCCTGGACAGGTCACAGGTCCACATAGAGACAAACAACTATCCACACTCTCACTCACAACTAGGGACCAATCTGGCAACCTTCTTGCTTGGAGGCAACTGCTCTGTTTTTAGATGGTATATTTCACAGAACTTGGTCCACAATATGAATAATATCACAATATAAAGATTTAGTTAGAGAATCTGTAGTTAGATCATCTCAAAATGATRCAACTTTTATCTATCTAGGGATAAAAATACATGTAAAAGGTTGGAGTTAATACAGTAACTGCTAACTTTCATTTGAATGATGTCTGCCACTAATGCGTTTCATTTGCTTGTTTGTTTTTATTCTAACATCCAGTTAGATTTTTCTCATTTATGTATTCAGTGACTTATGCAGAGTTGTGAAGAAGAATCCTGGGAGCAAGGAAATTTGTTTAGTGTTCATTAATTTACTTATTTAAAAAAATTATGTTTGGCTTTAGGGTACCACTGTTGTGCAGACATTATTTTCCCCTATTGAWAAAGCAAAACATTGTGTCTGTACTACTAATTAGTCCATTTGCAGGTAGATTTTATCTACATTGTGCTATTTGGTGGTGAGAATATCACACAGCCTGTAAGACTGAGTTACAGCAGTTAGATAAAAGCTGTGGCCTCATTACAGTGTGACATTCACATGACATAAGCTACAGGCTGCAGGTCTTTAATAATAATAATGATCTAATCATACTGCGGACAATAATCCTATAACCTTTATTCCACTTCATGTTACAGGGATCTGCCAAATTAATCCATGTATCATCATTACTGGCCAGTGTCATAAAATCTATTTGTCACTTTAAAGATTATTGATTCATTCTCATGTGAACATTTACAGTCTGCAGATATAAGGGGCTGAAAGTGGCTGTACTGTAAGTCTTTATAAAAGTGATCTGAAATCTCTTTGTCTGGGCCTGAAAAAAATCTTGTAAATTTTGTRTGTTTATTATCTCAACCCATATATTTTTAGTTTACACTCGAASAAATGAACCAAATTGTGTCAACTGGTTCCACTAAACAGAGTTGAGTAAATGAAGAACAATTTATACTCGGTTTTGTGGAACCAGTTACCATAACTTGGTTAAGTAAATTCAACACTTTGTTTTTTTTAGAGTGAGGTTAGTAAATTTAGTTTTTTTATGTTTTTCTTCTTAACAGACTCACAAAATTGTCCAATTTTAAGGAACTGTAATCAAAACAAAACATTATTTTTTAAATAAAATACACAAAAAAAACCACTTAAATAGCAAGTTATTTCAATTACAAAATCCCATCATGAGATTGACATCTCTTTGAAACAGTCTTTGGAAGAACGGTGGTTCATCCTASCAGTGGAGTTGCAGTGTCAGTGACAAAGTATGATACATCAGTAACGTAGTAACCTGAGAGCCATTGTGCAAGACATAGAGGTGTCTGTAGGTTGAAAGAGGTGAACAAAAGCAATTCTATTGGTTTGACTGAATCTCACATCATATATGTTGTATATGGAGCTGTATTATATTGTTTTCTCTACCGTTTGTCTTACTTGTTCTAGTTTTCCTGTGATTATTTGTATTTCATTCATCTGTGTTTAACCAGGCAAGTCCCATGTAAATAACTCGTGTAATGTTCTGTAATGTGATGACTCTCAGCTACTACTGCATCAAACTGTAGCTCAGTATCTGACTGAGTTATAGCCATTTTTGTATTTCCTAAGGYCATTTGTCTGTGGCAGCCATCTTGAATTGTGTTGACTCCATTAATTAGTTGTAGATGCACATTACTGCCTGAGAGTTTCGGTATCATCCAGTCAGTGATTCATGCGATATTTTGCTAACACCACGGACAAATAAACAGACACATACACAATCATTATTGCCCCTTTTTGCCTTCGACAGTGGGTGATAATAACTTAGTGTGGTGAGAATGTAAAAGTCAGGGATGAAACAGTGTGATGGTATAACAAGCGGCAGATCGGTCTGGAAGAAACAAAAACATCTGAATGTTTGATGGAGGTGGTGTTTCATTCGGGGTCAGCAGCTCAGTGGCTGTTGTGTTGTTTTGGAGTTTYGTCTTTGAGTGTCAGCTTCCTTGTTAGTTTTCTCTTTCTTTCAAATCTTGACTGTCATTTTTGCTTTCATCTTTCCCGAACAAGATCTATCACCTCKGTGCTACTTTGAGCTCCTCTCAGGCTCTCGGAACATCCAAAACTTTGACACACTCCTACATATGTAAGGAGATGTTCCCTCAAACGTTGTCATATTGTTTCTTTTATAGACACTCACCCTATAATGATGGCTCAGACTACCAAGCTACATTAATCTGCGTTGAACTTTAAATATGTCAGAACTAATAAGTACTTTAAGCTCTGAGTRGTGGTATTTGCAGTAGGAAATTAAACCGTCATAAATAACTTGTAAAACAGCTACAAAAAAACAAGTGTTTTGGTACAATAATTAAAAAAAAACCCTCTGGAGCAGAGGAGAGGAAATAAATCATGAGTGAAGTGTGTTTTCTGGGTGTGTTGCAGATCCACTACTGGGAAAAAGACAAGCAGAACCAGACTGAGAAGGTGAAGGTGATTTTTGTTCCAGACACTCGTGTGCACCTCACAAATCTGAGCAGCTACTCGTCTTATCTGGTCACACTGACTGCCTTCAACACCGCCGGGGATGGACCGCCCAGTGACCCCCGCGAGGCTCGGACCCTGCAGTCTGGTACGAGGCAGTTTGGTCCCCTAAACCCAAATAAACAAGGATGAGGCGTTTCTAATCTCCTCGATTCATCTTGTGTGTCCACAGCGCCTAGCCAACCGAGCTACCTGTCCTTCTCTGAAGTGACAGGGGGCAGCGTCAATGTCTCCTGGGGAGCTCCGCTCGCTCCCAATGGACAGGTGGAAGGCTACAGGGCCGTCTATCAGCCTACAGCTCCTGTACAAGGTACACACACAAATATGCATTCACACATAAAAAATACTGGTTGTTACAATAATCTTTAATTATCTGCAGGAGTGAGTAAAGTGGTGACCGTGGATGTGAAAGGGGGCTGGCAGCGTTGGTTGAAGGTTCGAGACCTGATCAAAGGAGCAACATACACTTTTAGTATCCAGGCTCTTACAGTGAGCTACGGACCACCGCTACAGGCAAACATCACCGCTCAGCCTGTGAAAGGTACACACTGGTCAGAGAGGGTGTTGATCATTGGACTCAGATTCTGTTGATAAATTAATTATTTAGTCTAAAACGGGGCCCGTTGACCCGCCAGCAGTTCCTCTCATTTCTAGGTAGTAATCAGTTGTCATCCTCTGTAGAAACACTGTATTTCCACTCAGTCTTTCCAACCATCGGCCCAATGAGCACGTAAAGGGCTGTAGTTCAGATAGTCTTCAGTCATGGTGCTTACTTTATCTGTGAATTATATCATGATTAAACATGAAAAACAAGTAACTCCAAGAGACAGTTAGATTYGGTTCAAACACACGTAGATTTGCAGACTTTATAAAACCACAAATACTCGTATTTGATCAATTTATAAAATGTCCCATGAACCAAATGGGACAATTTTCCAAGTGCATGGGCTAAAAAAAATGTGGATCACGACACTGGCTGCTATCTTAATCATAAAAAAATAAAAGGACTTTACTTACAAAGTATTTACATTGCATGTATTATATTATTGCATTTGGCCCGCAGTCCACGGATAGATTTTCATTTTGGCCCTTTCAGGGGAAAGGGTTTGGGCACCCCTGTTCTAAATGATGGGTCAATTCAGGTCAAATACAAATTGAACAACAAAAGCTATATGCTTTTAGAGTTACACTATGATTAAAGAAAACATAGATGAGGATCACTCCTTACATAGCTTGATTAAGTAAGTGTTTTGTAATGAGACATAATGTTCTTTTAATATTCTGAACTGGTATGGGATTCTGTTTTTACATTTATGTGTATAAACTTGTGATGCTCACAGAAAACAACAGAGTAAATCAAGGCAATGCCCAGTTTAAAATCGAACATTATGTCTGTATCTCTCTACTAAAGGAACCCCTGGGTCACCCATGGAAATGTCCATCACCAAGACGTCCTCCGACTTAAACATCCATTGGTCAGAGGGAGATATCGGTTCTGCTCCTGTGACTGGATATGTAATTGAGGCCCGTGCCTCAGGTGAGTTCTGTTACACTCCTCGCAGGTCATATATAACCTCCCAGATGTTCAGGATTTTATCGCCTGCACTCAATCTTTTAGCTCCTTGCACTAAACCGTTCTGAGCGCAGGTCTCTGTGGATTCATTATTACCTGCTGCGCAAATCAAGTCAGGCACAGTTTTCTAATAAAGATTACAAGATGTGTAATACAGGAAGGGAAATTGTTTCAGCGCTCTGCAGGAGGGCGTGTGGAGACTGTAATATAATTGTACAAGGAATAARCCTCTTTCATTAAAACGATAACAGTGATCATTGTCATCAACACAATCTCATTATCATCTTGAACGTGATTTGGTGATGCATAATTTTCCTGGCGCACATTTAAAAAGGGACTAATTCTCCGGTCGTCTTGTCTGCAGACGAGGGAATGTGGGACTCCTTCATCCGGCTTCTCCCTCCCAGCAGCAGGTCTGTGTCTGTGCCGCTGGAGCGTCTGAGGTCAGGGATCAGCTACGAGTTCAGAGTCATCGCTGTTAATCGCTATGGTTATGGACAGCCAAGTACACCATCTGTGGCTCTTGCTGGTAAGYACACACACACACACACACAYACACACAGTGATGGAGTGGATGCTGATGAAAGACGCTCACCTTCTCTGACAGCAGACTCAGTGTGTTGGAGGGAGTGTGCTGCAGAAAGCTGATGAGCTGGTTGTGTGCTGCCACCTGAAGGCAGGGTTTCCACAACTACAACAAACCTCACTGTAGAAACACAACATTAACCCATTTAGTTTACCATCTGTTGCTGTAAATTCATTTGTTTCCCAGCAAACTGTCTTTTCACGTTTATCCAACCTGTTTAATAAAGTTTATTTTTTGTCCTTCTTTTTGTCACTTCAGTAGAAAACGAAACCAAATATTATTAGTTTATTTAGTTTATTTATTTCTTCATCATCAGTGACTTTTTTTGTCACTTAATACAAAAGTTTCATTTTAAGGAAGAAGTTCAGAGACAGCCAACATTCTCAACTGGAATCAGTCTGATTCAAACCACATGAAGTCAGCAGGACTAGAAGAAAACGTGATATTTTTCTAATCTACCGTATGTCCCTGTGTGTGCCTGCAGCACTGTCGGAGCGTCCGTTTTACGAAGAGTGGTGGTTCCTGCTGGTTATGGCTCTGGTTGGACTCATCCTCATTCTGGTCCTGRTCTTTACTCTGCTGCTGCACGGAAACAGCACCAAGTACAAGGCCTGCGGCACAGGTCTGAGCCTTACTCATTTCTGTTGCTTCTAAGATGTCACAGTTTTATTTATGTTTTTTTAATTAAAAAGTAAAATTCCTCTCAGGGTTTATTTGTGTCGTCTGTCTCAGCCTCAGCAGACTGACTTATTAAACTCCTGAAAGATTCAGTAAAGTTGTCTCTGAATTTTCTGCTGCAGTCAACCTGAGGCAGGTGCGCTCGCGTCACACTTTGTTTAATTTGCTGTAGTCTTGTTGGACTGCAGGAGGTATCAGCGTTCAGTCAGAAAAATCGATCAGGAAAATTACATTCTCAATCTTCTTAATAAATTTTTTTCCTGATTCCGCATTTGATTTTTATTAAACTTTGTAAAACTCTACATTTTGATACAAAAATCAAGCTGTCTTTATTGTTAGAATGTTAAAATTACTAGCTAATTTAACAATTTATCTTTTAATGAAATGTACTCCAAGCTTGTTTGAAATATATTATTATTACCAGACATCACTGCTGGATGTCTTTCAAACATACTTACCTTTTTATTCAGACAARATGCAAATAATCTGTCAGGACAGTTTTCAGGTTATTTAGCAACTAACACTACATTTTCCTATAGCACCTTGATAAAGGATTTGTTAAATACTATAATTCAATTTAATGGAATCAAAAGTAGGGACAGACATTGTCTTCTTTTTTTAATAAATATTATTTTTGACACATTTTACCTGAGGATAACCTGCTAGAGTTTTTTCATAAATATAAACTGACCATTAGATCAATTTTTTGTTTGTTTTGTTTTGTTTTGTTTTTATGACTTAATGCTGACAGCCATTTGAAACATGAATGTAGATATTTTTGCTATGCCTGATTTTATTTTTCCTCCTCAAGTCAAAATGTCGGCAGCACTCGAGCCAAACGATCACTGTTARTATATGTGATGCATTGTCAGCTTACTGTATGTCGAGGCTTTTTTCTCCTTTGAAACCGTCTGTGATGTTTCTGGTCATTGGTAACAGTTGTTGTATAAGTGTTCCAGGTTTTATCTGAGCAGCTGTTAGTTTGAGTTGCCACAGAAACCTGGCACCAGTTCTGGACTGTGAAGTGATCAGAGAGTGTCTGAGAAGCTGAAGTGGAAAAATAAACACGATTAAAAAGACAAGCCATGCTGTGCTCCAGATACATTTTGTCTATTTTTTTATTTTAATTTTTTTTTTTAATTGTTGAAGAAAATAATAAGTTATACTTAGTCACTAGCTGGCAAGTTCATTACAGATGTTGATTTAAAGAAAGCATTCAACACGAYTGACYACAGCATTCTCCTTGACAAACTAAATAAATATGGGATTAGAGGACCAGCATTRCAATGGATATGTARTTATTTTGAAAATAGGAAACAGTTTGTACAAGTACATGATGTAAGATCTGAACTCTGTGGAATCACATGTGGAGTTCCTCAGGGTTCTGTACTTGGGCCAAAATTGTTTATCCTATATGTGAATGACTTGGTCAATGTGTCAGGATTATTTAAATGTGTTTTGTTTGCTGATGATACAACATTTTTTTGTTTGGGTAAAGACAGAACGAATGTTAGAGAAAATGCAAGCAGAATTTGTGAAAATACAAAACTGGTTTAAACTCAACAAATTATTAAACTTGGACAAAACTAATTATACGATATTTACAAAGAACTGCTAATAATCCATTTAGAGTTGATGGTGTGGAGATAAATAGAGTCAATGAGGTAATGTTTTGGGGGTTATTATTGATGAGAAATTGACATGGAAACCTCATATAAATTATTTAAAAATAAAACTAGCTAAATCCATTGCATTGTTTTACAA